AAAAAAAAATTTTTTTTGAAAACAAAATTTTTTTTGAAAAAAAATGTTTTTTTTCATTTTGACATACTTTGGAAATCTGAACTGTTTTTCAAAGCAATCGTATTGCTTATCTGCCATAGAGACAAAATGTCAAAGCGCGCAACTGCCGAACCGCCGTCCTAACGGATAAGCATTGGTACGGAACCCATAAAAATGTAAAAAAATTATACTTATTGTTAAAATCTTTATAAAAAACTGATAATTTGATGTGCATATGTCTAATGATCATTTTTGACCGCCAAATGGCATTTTTTTTTACTTTTAATCATTAGATCTCCGAAACCGCTAGACCTTCCTTCATGAAATTTGATCAATTCTTCATCTTGTCAATACAAGTAAAATAATTTTTTGAATTATTAAAATCGAACGCTCCGTCTCTTAAAACTGAGTTACCGTTTTCGGCACTTTTTGCCCCGTATCTTTGGAACGGCTGGACCTGCCTTCGCCAAAAACTAATCCGCACGTCTCCTTATCAATACGAATCGAATGCTTTTTGAATTATTCAAATCGGTTGATTCTGTTTTCCCGAAATCGTCGACGAAAATTTGTATCCGCACATACATACCCACACACAACATACATACATACTACACACACACACACACACACATACATCCATTTTTTCTAAGGTATGCCAAAATGTTCAGAAACCTCTGAAACGTAAAGGTATATAAAAATTTTCATTTTCGATTTTTTTGCGATTACTATAACTTGCCCTACGGGAAGTTAAAAATAAAATGTCTACATTATTTTTGCTGAAAGCAGCTGAGATGTGCCAGAAATTAAAATAGAGGAAGATACAGTATATATACGGCAGATTGAATGATACACATATGAACAGGATTTGACAAATTAATTCACCTAAAATATGAAATTAAGTAATCAGGGAATGCGACGCACGCCTTAGGGGGCGCCAACACAAGATTCGGATATGAAATTTTCAAAATAGTTTTTTCAATATAACTCAAGAAATAATTATTTCTTTGCATCTTTTTCTAATCTTTGCACAATATTTATAAAATACGTTAAAAATCTTACTTTAAAACAACAAATAGGAAAATGCATACAATTCTGCCTTTACGATATTTAGGAGAAGTTCAAGATGCAATTTTAGATATCTTAAATAATAATAAAATAAATTAAATTAAATAATCCAACATGAAGTACCTACCTATGTTATGTTTATGTTTAATAATGAAAGGCTAGAATTTTTTTGCTCTCTATGATTTACTCAATAGAATAAATCGTATAAAATGTCCAAAATAAATAAGTAAAATGTTTCAAAAGCCAAATATTAATGATAATAATTTTAATAATAAACTATTAAAACAGGTAAAATAATAGGAGGAGGGTCTAGAAAAATGGTATTAATATATAATAAATTATTACTAATAAAAATGTAATTTAGATATTACAATTACTAAAAACCAGTTAAAATATGATACGAGATTATGAAAATTCAAGACAACATTTTTGGAGCAATTATTTTGAGTGAAAAAATCCAAGGTAATATTGTATTTTTACCGCTGATACTGTATATTATTTTTTCTAAGTTTTCTGTTATACTGTTTAAAATACTTCAATTTTCAATATAGTTGTGGGAATTGAGACTCAACATTTTATTTGAAGCAGTTAAGAACATTTAACATCGCTTTTATTGATGTAAATGCATTTTGGTGTCAAGAGTAATTTAAAAAACAATAATTATTATTTTTAGGTAAGCGGTATTAGTATGGGATATTAAAAAATTGTAGACGTCTGTCGGGTCATCTAGTATATTTATAAATAATCAATTAATATTCAAGAGTTACCTTTTTGGCAAAATTTGCAATAATTTGTTTTATTTTGGCATTGACTAAATAAACTTTGTTGTCGATTATTGCTGAAATTGTAGTTCTGCAGCCTTTGATTTCTTCTGGAGTTCTAAAAAATATAAGATAAAGGATCGATTGAATTAATAATATAAAACAAAAACAAAGCTCTATTTGTATGAACTAAATATTAAGTAATTAAATATATAAGCAAAAATATTTTTTTTGACATAATAACAATTTATACCATTAATAAAATCTTTTATTACTACAATCATAGCTTATGAAAATGATTTGAGTTGAATTCTTGTCGATATGTAGTATTTGATAAGACAGTCCATAATTTTGTCGATTTGACCAAACCTTCTTTACCTTTTTAAATTTTCCAAAACTTTTTCAGTCCCCAATTCCTTTACAAATTTCTGCAAACTAGCCTGTACATATTCAATAGTATTTATACCAACACACCACTTTTGGCAACAAATATTCTTCCCCGAGCTTATGGGGTTGTCAGAATTCAACTTGACACGAATGCAGTCAGCATAGAAGACAAAACAAACATAAATATCCTACAAATAGAAAACAATATATAAAAGTACCATCAGCACTTCATTATATACTCATAGTATTTTCCAGTATCAGTATTTTATTAAGTTATTTTGCTTACACGAATAATTTTGGTGACAAACGTATAACACCCTTCGGGATCTGGCCATTCTAAACGATCCCAAAATATTTTGATTTGATAAAAGAATGCTAGAGTGTCTACAGCAGATGAGCTGTGGTGTACATCATCTGTAAAAAGAAATACAACTACATATTATTATAAAAGGTTAAAATGTTAAGTTTCAGTCAATCGATAAATAGACAATAGTCAATAGACAAATTCTAATGTGTTATGAATATCCAGATTTATAATTACTATTCACAAAAGTAACATTACTAAAGTGATTTACATTCTGAATTTTGTTGGAAATTGTTTACTTCAATTTAAATAATTTTATGTATCCGCCATTTTATGCAGTTGTCAAATCAACTTTACACAAGCAGCATTTAAAAATCCAAATAACACAAAAAATACTCACCACAAAGCTGTTTCCAAATAACTACAAATACTTTATTATTATTCACCTGTAACTTGCACAAAATTATCCATTTCTACGGCCTTTTCTATTATTTTTTTCGCTTTAAAAGAAGCGACATCCAGCCAGTGCGTTACACCGGTCGTGAACCACAAATGACAACGCGCCATGTTGCCAACTTCAGTCATATTGGATTTGGTGTCATTTTTTGAATTTTGTGATTGATTTTCGTTAAATTTGTTACCTAAACTAAAAAAATGGTTTAATTTATAATATTATTATTATTATTCAGTTTATATTATTTAACTTATGACGTATTTAAGCATAATTAATAACCCTAAACTAAAAATCAAATATTATAAAAAGAGTTGGGATGGTCATGAAGTTCGCACAAGTAAAATGTCAAATAATTTAAATTTAAATTCAAATTTTGTATAAAATATTTTTAACTTCCCGTACAATAAGTTATTGTAACCATCCAAAAATCGAAAATGAATTTTTTTCACGTTCTAGAGGTTTCTGAATATTTTGGCATACCTCAGAAAAAACTGATGTGTGTATGTGTGTGCGTGTGTGTATGTATGTGCGGATACAATTTTTCGTCGACGTTTTTAAGAGTACGGCTCAACCGATTTGAATGATTCAAAGATCAATCGATTCCTATTGATAGGGAGACGTGCTGATTAGTTTTTGGGAAAGGCAGGTCCAGCCGTTTCGGAGATATAGAGCAAAGAAAGCAGAAAATAGAAATCAAGATTTTGAGAGAACCGAAAATCCGATTTATGAGATTCAAAAAACATTCGATTCCTATTGATGAGAAAAAGTGGTGATTAGTTTTTGAAAAAGGCAGGTCCAGCCGTTTCGGAAATACGAGGTTGTAAAAATGATATTTATTTACTATTATTTATCTACTTACTTTACAAATCGTTTAATCTCCAAATACAATTCAAACAAAGTAGTACCCATTGCATTTGGAACCGTTTCCTTAACCAATTCGCAAACTTTTTGCAAATTTGCACAATACTCATCTATTTCTGGTTTTACACGTTCTGATAAAAGTTTTGCATATTCTTTATATAAAATATTTGTGTAAGATACATTAGCAATCCTAAAATTAAATAAAATTAAACATAAAGCAATTTCCTATATAAAACATCAACTTACTCTTTGAATATTTTATCATAATCCTTGCTGGCTTCTTCCAAATCCTTCAGCACTCGTTGTATTAAATAAATAATTTTTCTCAAACCTTCTTCACCATTTAGTTGTTCACTATTATCAAAACCAGAACTTGAAGCTAAAGGTTCTCGTGGTATTTCATCCTGGTGCTCCAGAAGATCCTTAAACCAATTTTGGGCCCCATAACGTACTGCCAGGTTTAAAGCATCCTTTATTGAATCGACCCCTGTAAATACAAAATAAACTAGTGGTGTATGGCATCGTGCCTTAAGACAAATTGCTGGAACTTCCCGTAACGTAATGAAATATTCGAGAAATTTTAAACGTTTTCAAATATATTATTACAAATACTGTAACTTTCATTATTTTTGCATTATCTTGTTTGTTATATCTGAGCAAATCAAATGTAAATCATAAATCAATTTATCTCCTGAACATTAACAATCGTCATTTCATTTCGAATTCAATCTAAAAAAAAAATAGTTGCACAAAATTGAATAAATGCTCTCGTATAGTCACAGTCTAAACGCATTTGCAAACTAGTGGGGTGGGTGGCATCGTGCCTTAAGGCAAATTGCTGGAACTTCCCGTACCGTAACGAAATGTTCGAGGAATACTGAATGTTTTCAAATAAATTATTATAAATATTGTAACATTGTCTAATATTTATAAGTATTATATAAACTGAATTGCAAAGTTGAAATTATTTGTTTAAAGTATATTAGAACTATAGTCAGAATTTAAAATAAAATCTGAATTATTTTCGATATACAAAAAATTAAAAAAAAAAAAAAAAATTAAACAAAATTTTTTTTTTCAAAATCAATTATTTTGTTAAGACAAGCAGAAAGTTCTTTGAATCATTCAAATCGGACGATTAGTTCTCTCAAAAACTGCCATTTTTTACATATTTAACTCCGTATCTTCGAAATGGCTGGGCCTACCTTTGCTAAAAACTAATCAGTTCTTTTCTCTATCGATAGGAATCGATTGTTTTTTGAACCATTCAAATCGGTTGATCCGTGCGCCCGAAAACGTGACTGGAAATTTGTATCCATACATACATACACACACACATACACACACATCCATTTTTTCTGAGGTATGCCAAAATGTTCAGAAACCCTCAAAACGTCGAGAAATGTAAAAATTTTCAATTCCGATTTTCGGCCCATTACAATAACTTACCCTTCGGGAAGTTAATAATTCTGTGTGACATTTTCACTTATACTGTGCTTAGCTTGGCGGCATTTTCACATTTCTCAATAGTTTTCACAAAATTGGAAAAGTGCAACAGTCTAAACGCACTTGGGTAAACATTTGTACCAGACTGTGCTTAGTCTGGGTAATTTTTTCGAATTTTTAATCCAAAATTACAAAAATATTTTATGGAAAATAAAAAAAGATGCAATAATTTTTTATCCTCAAAAGCAATTGTTTTGTCAATACAAGCAGAAAGTTTTTTAGATCACTCAAATCGGACGCTTAGTTCACACAAAAACTGATATTTTTGCACATTTAGCTCTGTATCTTCGAAATGGCTCGACTTGCCTTTGCCCAAGACTAATCAGAACATCTCCCTATCAATAGGGATCGAATGTTTTTTAAACCATTCAATTCGGTTGATCCGTGCGCCCGAAGACAAGGACAAAAAATTGTATCCATACATACATACATACATACACACACACACATATCCATTTAGTTTCTGAGGTATGCCAGTAAAATGTTCAGAAACCTTCAAAACGTCAAAAATTGCAAAAATTTTCATTGTCAATTTTTGGCCCATTACTATAAATACCCTACGGGAAGTAAAATATAAATAAAAATTATGGATTTAACAAAGTTTGCCAATAAATTCTCACCATCTGTTAATTTAATCCACGTATACATTTTAGCAGGTAGCAACTCAAAGCCTGCAGGAGCCCTAAAACAAGCCAACGTCTGCACAATTGGTAGAGCTTCATTTAGATCTTTCAACAACCTTTGATTGTACCCATCATGTCTATGCATCTGCCAAGAAAAATTAATATAATCCTATCCCAACTTCCAATAATCTTTTTTCATTTACCGTTTTTATTATAGAAAAACATCCAGGAAGTATCCTTACAGCTCCTTCCCAGAACATCCTCTCCTCCTCCTTCTCCAAAACCTGAGTACCAGCCGATTGTTGCTGCAAAGGCTTGACCAGAACCTTTAAAAGCCTGTTGAATAATTCTAAAGCCAAAGGTCTGTCCGTGGAATGGACTCGAGTGTAGACAGACCATTCGCAAAGGGCGTTCGCTGTGTGCGAGAGGCCCCCTTGGGCCCTGTGCTGGATGAGAACGGCTTGGGATTGGGGGCTCCAGGTGCCGGACCATTCGGAATGCTTAAAAAGCAATAGACAATAGTAATAATTAGTTGTTTTATATTTATATGTTGGAAATTTATTTGAAAATTATATTGGTTATTAGTTATATCTATATGTTGCAAATTAGTTAGTCAGTACGTTGTTATAGTACAAAATTAAACATGGTCGTTACGTACAATAAGGTGAAATTTATCCTTCGCTGTTACCTAATCAAAACGTTTTGTTACTATTTGAATGGAAAACTTATGAATGTTTTAATATTTTCTGGACAATTATAATGGCATTTTAAGATTTAATCAACCACCTGAAAACGTAACAAAAACAAGAAAAATATGTTACGTAACAGAAATGTAACGTGATAAAACAGTTGTTAAGCCAATCCAAACAATAACGCATTGCAACTTCGTTTCCTAAGAGTTTCGTAACTCTTACGTACAATGTATAATTTTATAATAATGTTATTATTTCAAATACCTTTAGTGTTTCCACCTCGTATAAGAGTAACATTTTCAATAACTCCATATGTTTTTGTATAAAATTATCTTGATCTTTGGGTCCATAATTTATCTGTTCTTCCTTTTGTGCTCCAACAGCGATTCTTAGTTTTAGAACTCCTTGTTTTTTTATTTTGGGCGGTTTATCCAAACTGTACAGCATTGTAGTACCAGACATTGGAATTGACTAAAAACGAAAAAAAAATAATAAAAATTTTGTGATAATAAATCGGCCAACAGAACAGAGTATTTATTTATTTCGGAGGGTTTTGCCCAATATAATAATAATTACAATCACTGCAATCCATTTTATGAACTAAATTGGTAATTATATTTGTAGATTTTTTTTATTTTGAAACGAAAATGTGGAAACTAAAATATTTGTTCAAATTAAATACTAAGGAAAAAATTTTGTTTGATTGAAAATGTGCAAGTTTTGACATAATTTGAATTGAGCGAAAAACCATGGACTATAGTCCATGACTTTTTAACAAGATTGAAGCGTCCAGAAAATTATTTTTGTGTAAAACGCAAAAAACTTGTATTTATTAAGAAAAGATTCATTTGTAAAAGAAACAGATTTATTTGTAAAAGAAATTATTATAATTCAAAATATTAACCCTTTCGCTACGAGTCGACGTTCGCTTGTCGACCTGTGTGTATGAGTGTCGCTTATAGACGACATCCAGTGTGTCGACATTTGTTTCAAGATTTATCACTCTGCTATCTTTTTACAAAAATTTATAATTTTTTCAAAAATTTACAAATTTTTCAAAAATGTTCAAAAAAGTTCAAAATTCTCAAAATACTAATTTTTCCTTTTAAGCTTTTAGAAATTCAATATCACGCTGCGGGAAGTTTCAGCAATTTACCTTAACTATTTATAATTAACTATAATAATTATTATTTATTATTATGATAATTAATAGTTAAAATATTCTCCTTTTACCTTTAAAGGTATTTTACCGGTTCCAATTAACAAGTCCTCCGTTTTTGGCGTCGAATTGTTTGCTGAAAATTCTTTCATCAATTTTCCAAGACTTTTTACTTTTCCTAATGATCCAAACTTTTTAGATTTGTTGTCTACTGCTTCAAAATCCCTAGAAAAAAATTATATGCTGTAAAATAATGAATACATGTTTGAAATAAATAAAATACAAAATTTTACACACTTTTCAAAATGACTTTAAACGTAGAGAAAATACAAAATTAGCAAAATAGATCTTTAGAATCGGAAAATGTGGTTGATTGATTGCCTGAAAACGTTATAAATTGCCTAAAAATATTGTAGAGTATCTGTAAACTAGAGGCGCATGGCATAGTGCCCAAGGCAAATTAAAGTGTTATAAAAATATTCGATATTTTTTTTAAACTTTGGAATAATTAGATTTTTGAGAATGTTTAAATTTTTGAAAAGATTGAATTTTTTCAGAGCAATCGCGCTGCGTTAGCTACGTAGAGAAACTAGTTGAGGCAAGTTACATGATCTTCCCGATATGTGTAAATATGTAAATGTGTAAAAGTTAATTTTTTTAACAGTTAATTGAACTAATTAACTTTCGAACAGTTAAAACGTGGACGAAAAATTTTTCACTGTTCTGCGATTTACAAAGAAACGGCTCAGGAGATCGTCGCACAAAACTGACAAACGATGGTCCTCATCGAGATACATCGAATGTCTTTTAAATTTTCCAGGCGTTTTTGAGCAAACGTCGATGAAAGTTTTAATTTTGACAAATGCCAAAAAAACGATACTAATTTTTGCAAACTTTGACAAATTTTTAAAATTAAACGACTTGTCGTAGGACCGTAATATTTTAGTATGATCTAGAAGACTATGCTATCTACTTAAAATCATAATAATCTTAGAATTTTTTTTCAACACTTTATTACAAGAAAACGGCCCGGCGGCTAAAACGTGGACAAAACTGTTTTCACTTTTTTGCTATCTACAAAGAAACGGCTCGGCATATAGTCACACAAAACTGATAAACGCTAGTCTTCATCGAGATACATCGAATGGCTTTAAAAAATTTGAAATCGGTCCAGCCGTTTTTGAGAAAACGTCGATTTGTGGCAACAAATCTATTCACATACATACACACACATGGAAATGGGACTTTTTCGATTTAAAAGATGAGTATAAAATCAAGGTAAGAATGATAACATTCTAGATCCTCCCCCTACAAAGTAATGTCTAACGGCGTTTTCCGTGGAAACCAGAGGCAAGGGCAAAGCGGAGGTTATAGTCGGTATTATAGCAGGGCGGTATTGAGTCCGACATACCAAGACAAAAGACCTAGCATAAAAAACACTTTACTCATAGCCTTGCGTTCCTTGAAAATAAGAAGAGCGAATGACACCAATAAGGGCAAAAGTATTATTACAAGTTGGAATCATAGAATTCTAGAGCCTCCCCCCATGAAGTGATGCAAGATAAAGAGTCGAACATATTCAGAGAAAAAACCTAGTTTGGCATAAGTAAAAGCATTTCATTGCCTATCGAAAAAAAATCGAAGAATATTATACGCAGGCGGTATTGAGTCCGTCATACCCAAGCAAAAGACCTAGCATAAAAAATACTTTACTCATAGCCTTGCGTTCCTTGAAAAGAAGAAGAGCGAATGACACCAATAAGGGCAAAAGTATAATTACGGGTTGGTATCATAGAATTCTAGAGCCTCCCCCCATGAAGTGATGCAAGATATAAGAGTCTAACATTCTTATGCGAAACTAGGTTTTTGTCTGGATATGTTAGACTCTTATATCTTGCATCACTTCATGGGGGGAGGCTCTAGAATTCTATGATTCTAACTAAGCGTATAATTATACGCAGGCGGTATTGAGTTTGACATACCCAGACAAAAGACCTAGTGTGGAATGCGTAAAGGCTATACTACTACACATACTTTTTCTATATGTTGATCTCATTCGATTCAGAGTGGCTTGAAACGTCGAGAAAACATAAAATTAGCGATTCGGATTTTTTTATGAAAACATAAGTTAAAAAAATGTGACTTACCAAACTTCCAGACACAGTACATCCTGTTGCGTATTTTTACCAAGCGGCCTAAAATAAAACAAACAATAAATCATACACTTTAACTACCGTATCTAATAAACATTTATCAATAAATAAATAATCATTATTTATAATATTTAATTATTTCATCTGTCAAAATAATTCTTGATACCAACAGACTAATGTGTTCGCCCCATTCAGGATTAAACGCACCCGACTTCATGCCGGTGTAGTGCCTTTCGGTTGGCGCGCTTTCTAAGTAAAGAGCGACGTACGCGTTGGGCGCACGCGATTGCTGTTTGCTTAATAAATCTTTTGCTTCTACAATCTAAAAAAAAAACAGATAAATATATTTAAAATGGTGCTATTCAATAATAAAAAAATGTTTATTATAATACTAGCAAACCCGACGAACTCCGTTTCGCCACCTTCATCTTTCTCATGGCTTCGTGAGAAAGATGAAGAAATTGTTAGTTTGTTTTATATTTGAAAAGGAAAAATTTGATTTTATTACACAACAGTTGTTAACGCCTTACTCAACCCTGATCTAATTATATATTTTATTACCGTCAGACAGGATAGCGATAATAAACCCTCATCCCTTATTATATAATTTAGAACTATAAAATAATCCCTTTCATTGTCACGCATCCTGTCCCTAAATCTATCATCATATCATTAATCGATTTTTCTAAGAATTTTAATCGCCTGTCCCTAAATATATCATCCTACAATTAATATATATTTCTAAGAAACTTGGATTACCTTTACCCAGTTTCAATTCTAGGTATCATGCAATCACCGACCAATACCTGATTGGTTGATGAATGTAATAGCCACTGATTGGATCCAAAATTGTAAGGGAATGTCGCTTAATTCCACAAAATGAACAAATTAGAAAAATATATAAAATTGTAAAATCTTTATATTTTAGTATTAACTCAAATATCATCTAGTTAACATCAGTCTTAAACCAATACTCAACTAAGCAACTAGTCTTAAATCAACATTCAAAGCAATAATATCTAACATATCATCTATAAATCTTAATCTTTCTTCCAAATATACAATAATTAAACATTTATTATTATTCTTTTATTCGGTCTGATATAGCCACTATCTAAGTATATCTGGTCCTTCGACAATATAAATAAGGTGCAAGTGTTCGGCAGCATCTTGGTAGATCACGGACTTCTTATACATTTTTGCAATCTATCTTTAAACAACAGTAATGAATTTATTTCGATTACAAAATGAAGTGTTTGTTAGTTGAACTTCTCTAAGTAAATGAAAGTAAATCCGCAAATTATCCGTTCCATGGAAGTGCTCTTTGGTAAACCACATTTTTTGTTTTTTGGTCTGACGTCGTTAACACAAACAAAGCGGATAGTTTTCCAGCTCGTGAACAGGCAACGTATAACTGCCCATGTGAAAAACAATGATTTTCTAAATAATCTATCTGAAATTTATCCCGCAAACACTAAGCGATTGGCCTTGAGACTTGTTATTGCGAACGCAAGGCGAACTGGAAATTGCAATCGTTTGAAGTCAAACGGAAGACCAGTCGGAATCATTAGTATGTCACCAAGTCGCCAGCAATTTTTGATTGAATGGTGAAATTCAGTGCGTGTACATCATTATTCTTTGCGGCAAGAATTGTTAATTGACTTAATTGCAAGCATAATTCTGATAATTCTCACTAATGTCATTACTCGAATTTTTAATTACGGTGCATGAAGTTCCAGCAATTTACATTAAGGCACGATGGCATGCACCACTAATTTTCTTAGCTATAAACCTTGAGGAGCCCGAGACCATTCCAACAAATGCAAAATTGTAGAAATCGGTTCGTGCGTTCTGGAGTTGTATCGTCAGGAAGGAAAACCCGACTTATTTTTATATATATGTATATAGTTACAATAATAATGGTAGTGGATATTAAATACACAGGTGAGTGTGAAAGTAGTACAGTAAACCCTCGGTTAACGCGGCAAGTGCGTACCGTGCATTATGGGGACTGTGCTATAAAAAAACTCGTAGTTAACATACAATTCAGTAGTGCGTTCTATGGAACCTCATATAGTGCAGTATGGGAACCGCGCTACAAGAGACTCAGAGTTAGTACAAATCGCACAATTTTTATCGTGCTGTATGAAAACCAAGAAATACAACTTAAAGTAGGAGTAATACCGATAAAATGACATGTATGACATTGACACTTTCTTCAAAAATTGGCGCGACACAGTAGTCAGCTCGAACGTGTTCTTAGACAGTTATTATATAATCAGACACGTTTAAAAGATAAAAGTCGATAGCAAAACTTACATTAACACCCTTTTAATATCAAGTTCGTATAATCACTCACAAGTTGCGCAAGGAACTTATGGGCTGTTGAACAAAAAACCGTGCAATAGGAAGTCCGTGTAGTCGGAGGGATGTCGGATTTTTAGCTCCGCGTAGTATGGAAACCGTGCACCCAGAGTGTCGTGTTAACCGAGGGTTGACTGTAGTTATATATTTCCTATCTTTTATTTTACCTCTACGTTTAATCTTTGTTCAGGTGCAATTTTAACCATAGCCTTCGCCATTGCTAATTCGTGTTTGTTTGCAGAAATGCGAAAAACCTGTCGCAGATGTTCGATCTGGTCTTCTTGCTCCTGCAGCAGGACATCGTTTTTGGAGCACCCCACATTGTGCAAAATTCCAAAAAGGACTTCTTCGTATAAATCATCTAACTGGAAAAAGATAGAATACTCTTAGATTTGTATTTGAACCATAAATGTAACCGCAACAGTATTAAAAATATGCTCTATGTCAAACGATAAATATTTAAAAAAAGAGTGCGCGTAAGGTTCACACACGATTGAAGTAAAACTTTTTTGCTACTGTACGAGATGGCATTTAAGTAAAAATAAATACATCATGTAACAATTTTGAATAATGTTCATCAATAATATGGTAACACTCGTGATGCACACATTTATTAGTGTAAATCATTATACTCATTTATATAATGATAAATTATAAATTATATATTTACAATAGCATTCAAAATATGTATAATATTTAAAAACAATAATGTAATTAAAGTCATACTTCAAATACGACATGATCGTTTGTGATTGTAATTTAGCATTTATAAATGAACCTTCAATAGAGAAATGAAGTAATTTAAATGATTAATAAATTCTATAATATTCGTTCACACAGTGAATTATGTTAAACAACGCCTAAACAAATATTGTTTTCACAACTTTCACTCATCATGTAATAATTGTGTTTGAAGAACTTCATGTAATTAAAATTAACATACATTCATTGACTGCTTGTATTTTTTTACTTTTTTGCTGGCGACATAATCTCATTCTTTGAACAGCTGTAATATCTGTCTTGCCTAAGAAATATTTTCCATTTTAATAACTTCAAAGATTTACAGAAACTACGAATAATATAGAAATAATTTCTAATCAATAAACTTACGTTTAGTACACGGCACAAATGTTCAATTTGTTTTATTATTTTCAAGAAACAGAGTAAAATATTCTTCTAATTCAGACATTTTTCATTAGATCAACATTTGTACTACGATGTAACCCTAAAATGTTTATTTATCTATGCCGATTTCCTTGTTGATATCGGTACGCATACAACGACAGATCTCTATTCACATACACGACGACCAATCACAATCGACCCGTATAGAAATGATATCATCGAGAGTGAATGAAGAATCATTGGCACTTTGATCTTATCTTATCTGCCGTAACGCACTTCCGTTGCATTTGTATAAATTTACACCCTAGTTGCGCCTAAAGAAGTTTTACTTCAAAAAATTAAATTTAAATATTCAATCCTAAAACAAATATATTATTAAAACCTAATAACTAAAACATTTTAGAATACTTATACATTAATATAAATTTTATTATTATATTTTTCAGTACTCTATACTTACTCTAACAATGGCGTTTATTACTCTCACTGACGTCATGGTTTCATGCTTCATACACATACGTTTATTATTATTACGATTATCACTTATAATTTTATTTAATGTTTTTAACAATATGATTTAATATAATGGTTTTAATACAAACATATGTTTAATATAGGATTATTAGAAAAATTGTGTCTTAAATATAACATTGAGTAATTAGTACTGTGTGATTTGTCGTCGCGGTCGTTCTTCTCGTGATTTTGTATTTAACACCTTTGTTGACATATATTAATATATATATATATATATATATATATATATATATATATATTTAAACTGCTCAAATAAATATTATCTCATCTTAACCCGCTATACTATTTATAGTTGTAAATTAAAACTAATGGGGCGTATGACATCGTGCCTTAAAAACATTGACATTTTTGAAAAAAAATTACTTTGAAAAAATTAGATTTTTGAGAAACTATAAATTTTTGACATAAATTTAATTTTTTTGAAAAAAAAAATCTTTTTGGAGAAAAATTTATTTTAAAATATTTTGGAAATTCTAAAATTTTTTTGAAGCATTCGTACTGCTTTAACTGCAAAGAAATAAAATAGCAAAGCGTGTAAGCGCCGCGTCGCCGTCTAACGGATAAGCATTGGTACGAAATCTCTATAAAATATCTGATAATTTGATTTGCATATGTCTAATGATCATTCTTGACCGCCAAATGGCATTTTTTTTTTTACTTTTTTACTAGATCTCCGAAACCGCTAGGCCTGCCTTCATAAAAATTAGATCAATTCTTCATCTTGAAGTAAAATGTTTTTTGAATTATTCAAACTGAGTAACCGTTTTTGGCACTTTTTGCCCCGTATCTTCAAAACGGCTGGACCTGCCTTCGCCAAAAACTAATTAGCACGTCTCCTTATCAATACGAATCGAATGTTTTTTGAGTTATTCAAATCGCTTCATTCGTGTTCCCGAAATCGTCGCCGAAAATTTGTATCCGAACACACGCACAAACACAGAAGCACACACATACATCCAATTGTTCTAAGGTTCGCCAAAATGTTCAGAAACCTCTGAAACGTAAAGATATATAAAAAAAATTATTTTCGATTTTTTTGCGATTACTATAACTTTCCCTACGGGAAGTTAATTAGTAAAATTCACTATTAATTTTTTTTATGAATTTTACATAATATATTATTATTAATATATATATATATATATATTAGGGTGGTCCTTAAAATGGTCATTTTCGAATTTCTTTGCTCCCAGGGGCTCAAATGGTTCCAAATAGATAAAAAACAATTCTCTGAAAGTTTTAGCTCTTAATATTAACGTTTAGATAGAGCGCAATTCAATCAAAGTTTTGTATGGAAAGAGCATGGAAAAAATTTTGAAAGTTAAAAAAAAATGTTTTGGGTATAACTTAGCGACAAATGAATGAGTTTTATTCATTCATTTGTTCACTAAATTACATCTAAAAACCATTTTTTAAATTTTTGAAAATTTTTCCATGCTATTTCCATACAAAACTTTGATAGAATTGCGCTCTATCTAAACGTTAATATTAAGAGCTAAAACTTTCAGAGAATTGTTTTTTATCTATTTGGAACCATTTGAGCCCCTGGGAGCAAGGAAATTCGAAAATGACCATTTTAAGGACCACCCTAATATATATATATATATATATATATATATATATATTATTTTATATATTTATATATATATATAAAATCGAGTAACCCACAAAAATAAAACATGATAACTATTAAATAGAAAATGGTAAAATAAAATAAAAAATATACTAAAAAAGAATCTGAAATTTTATTTAAAACAAAAAAAGACCCTCACAAGAAAAAAAATTGAATTAATAAAAAAATCTTCTTATGTGAAAATCTTTCGTAAATTTTGCAAAAATTTAAATTTTTGCTACGGGAAGTCTCAGCGATTTTCTTCAAGGCACGATAACATTAGTTAAAAAAAAACTAAAACAAACTTACTGTTATAGTTGACTCCATTTCAGTAATAACCTCCTTTTTTAAATCACTCATTATCAAATCTCTTTCCACATATAAAACCATTTTTAAAAACAACACACCCAAAAAATCATTTAATTAAAATAAATAAAATTTCACACAAAACTCACTTTCAATTAATATTTTACAAAACCTATAACAAACTTTATTTATCACTGTTATTCCATTAATTGAATTTTTTGAAAATATCATTTAATATTTTTATTTGTTTTATCTCAATTGCAAATATTATCCGGCGATAATAAATAAGATAAGTAGTGATAAGTAAGTAGAGGTAAGGAGTTAAATACTAAATTATCTCTTTGATAAAATTTTCGACGAAAATATTCAAAAATAGGTTATTGTGAAAGACAGAAAGGCTTCTTAGAAATATGTATATATATATATATATATATATATATATATATATGTGTGGTGTACGTATATACACTCTTATCATTTAAATCAAAACTCTTATGATTTAAATAAGAATTTTTTTACCAACTTTTTTAAATTTTTAATTAATAGTTCGTTACTAGTATAAAACCCGAGCTGAATTATATGAAACTGTACGTAACAGACACGTTACGTAAACGTGTCATTTGGTTCTGTTGAAATTAACCTAGAGTGCACTTATGTTTAACTTCCCGAAGGAGAAGTTTATGTTTTCATCAAAAAATCCGATTCGCTAATTTTATGTTTTCTCGACGTTTCGAGCCATTCTGAATCGAATGGAACTAAATTTGGATAAAGTATGTGTGTGTATGTGTGTGTGTGTGCGTGTGTGTGTATGTGAACAGATTTTTTGCCGTAAATCGACGTTTTCTCGAAAACGGCTGGACCGTTTTTAAAAATTTAAAAGCCATTCGATGTATCTCGACGAGAACTATTGTTTGTCAGTTTTGTGCGACGATCGGCCAAGCCGTTTCTTTATAAATGGCAGAAAAGTAAAAAAATTTTCGTCTACGTTTTAGCCCGCAATTCTGAATCGATTTTGAAAATTCAAAAACCGTTCGAAAGATATTGGTTGGGAATAGTGCTGATTAGTTTTTGGTAGAGATCGGCCGGGCCGTTTTCTTGTAATAGAGTTAAAAAAAAAAAAAATATTACGGCCCTACGACAACTGGTTTAGCTTTAAAAAGTCGTCAAAGTTTGCAAAAATTGGTATGGTCTTTTGGCATTTGTCAAAATTAGACTTTTGATCGACGTTTTCTCAAAAACGCCTGAACCGATTTTAGAAATTTAAAAGCCATTTGATGTATTTCGGTGAGGACTATCATTTGTCAGTTTTGTGCAACGATCTGCCAAGCCGTTTCTTTTTAATTTGAAAAAAAAGTGTTAAACTTTTCGTCCACATAAGCTCATCCTACCGAACCGATTTTAAAAAATCAAAAACTGTTCGAAAGATATTAGTTAGGAATGATACTGATTAATTTAGGTAAAAATCTACTGAGCCGTTTTCTTGTAATTAACTGTTGAAAAAAAGTTTAAGCCGATTTTCATGGAACTTTTTTTGGCGATATACATCATGGTCTTACAGAACTTACTGTAATATTACGGCCTTACGATAATTAGTTTAATTTTAAAAATTCGTCAAAGTTTGCTAAAATTATAATCGTTTTTTTTTAAAGTAGGATTGATGAAGTATATTATTTACACATTTTTTTGATTAAGTCGATTATTTACACATATCGGGAAGTTCATGTAACTTGCCTCAAGGCTAAATACCAATACCAACTAGTTCGTAGATGCAACTTTACAAAATTCTTTTATAACTGCAATACTTTTTTTTAAACTATCATTACTTAAGCCAAAAAACACCAAATTTAGAAATTATTTATTATTTTGTTATACAACATTGTTATCCTTGTTAAATAATAAATAAAACTAGCAATAAATAATTTTGTATATAGAATATTTTATTTATTTATTTATCTATTTACTTAGCGCCCACGGCAATGGGAAATATATATTTATAATTTCATTTAACATAAATTAAATTCATATACATATATAATATAAATCTATTTTATTATCATTAACTAAAAAATGATATTTAATTAAAATTTTATTAAAAATAAGTACTTTGAAATACAATTGCAACATACATCATAAAATAAATACAAAAGTTTCAACAATAAATAGACGATAATTTGAAATAAACTAAAAAATTAACAAAGATGGAAGTAAACTATATTAAAAATAATAATTTTAAATTATACGAACTTATCAGTTTATAATATTGCATCTGTATATATATATATATATATATATAAATATATATAATTTATTATAAATATCTCCACACATACATAATTTCTCACACATTATTGTCCTCGTCTCTCGAGATTCTGTTTCTATACAATTTTTAAAATCGTAATAACATCTATATATTTATTCACAATATACTTTCATCATTCAAACCTCATTCACATTTTGCATCCATTAATAATTGTATGATCTTAATCTTGTATTCACAATTCTCAACTCAAGATATACAAATATTAAAATATTTATTATTTTATACTTGTATTCATAATTCTTTTTATTTTATATTTTCACAGCTTATTGCAAAATACTTTAAGATTTTCTATATTTATTATATAGAGTCACTTGATTATATTTTTAAATAATTATTTCAGTATCTTAAAATATTTCTTGAGAGTCTCTTTCAATTTAATAAATTCGTGATTTAGTAGTAAATATCTTTTGTTTTGTAATCACATTTTACATTAGTATTTTTGTGATAAATCTTGAGATTCAATATTTTATTTTGAGATTCTTGGGGCAATTCTTGAAATAAAAATGTTTATCTATTTGCCGTGCGATCAAGCGTATTTTACATATAAACAAGCAAGAAAGAATCTTATGAAAACTGCATCGTCAAAGATTCTGTTATCATAAGATTCTTCCTTGCTTGTTTATATTTATATTTATATTATATCACTGACCAAGTATTTGTGTTTCTGAAGTAATTTCAATTTTTCAAGTTATATTTATATTTATATATTAATTATTAATCTCACAGTTCATATTGAATATTTTTCAGACTAATTTTGATTTGAGTTTTTTCAAAAATTCTCTTGCTTGTTTGTCACCTTGTCGATTCTCTAAAGCTTTGGATGTTTCATTATCTGAAAAATAAAAAAATAAATAAAATTATTATAAAATGTTTATAAATATATTTATATTTATAATATAAGTTATTATTGTATAATTATTATGATAAAAAGATGAAGGATAAAATGATGATGAATGTACTTACATGAATGATAAAACAATGGTTGATATGTGATGTTATATTACACAAATCTTGTTAATAAACAAAAAATACACTTTCAAATACTTTTGCCATTAAAACATGCATTTAGGATTCTTCTTCTTTTAATAAATTTCTTCAAAATGGTAAAAATAATAGCCAAAAACCTCTTCCGAAATCTCGACAACAAATAAATTGTCTCGACTGCAAAATTAATTTACATAGAGAGAAACAAGCCGGAATTTTTATTAAAAAAATCCTAGACAATTTAAAAACAATGTTTACGGACCACATTAATATTATTAGAACACAATATAGACTTTTTAACTTTTGTACTTCATCATTTTCGAAGAGAATTTATTTAAAAGAAAAATTAGTAAAGGATATTTTTGACTACTTATAACAATAAAACAATAAATAAGCGAAATGATTTCAACGCGCTGTCCGATTCAAATCTTTTTTATTTATATAGCATTTCCAAATTTTTACAAAATATTGTGCGCAAAGGTTCGTAATTCGTTCCACACATGCGTATTCTACACACATGTGTTGGTAAAAATAAAAAAAAAAATCTAGTATGTATTTTGTGAAATGTAATTTAATTACAAGTAGTGTAGTGCATTACCATATCCTGGTACCATAAATTATAAAATTTCTGTTTTCAACACTAAGATTAAATAATTGTAAGTACTTTTTACTATTGAATTTTTGTTCCCATTTAATTGCTAACTTCCCGTAGGGTAAGTTATAGTAATCGCAAAAAAATGAAAATGAAAATTTTTATATAATTTTACGTTTCAGAGGTTTCTGAACATTTTGGCATACCTTAGAAAAAATGGATGTATGAGTGTGTGTGTATGTATGTGTATGTGTATGTGAGCGGATACAAATTATCGTCGACGATAAGGATTGATGAGGAGACATGCTGATTAATTTTGCCGGAGGCAGGTCTAGCCGTTTCGGAGATACGGGGCAAAAATGCCAAAAACGGTAACTCAGTTTTAAGATAACGGAGCGTCTGATTTTAATAATTCTTAAACCATTTTACTTGTATTGACAAGATGAAGAATTGATTAAATTTTCAAGAAGGCAGGTCTAGTGGTTTCGGTGATCTAGTGAATAAAGTAAAAACAATGCCATTTGCGGTATGCACATCAAATTATCAGATATTTTATAAAGATTTTAACAATAAGTATAAATTTGTTTACATTCTATGGGTTCCGTACCAATGCTTATCCGTTAGACAGCGGCGCGTCGCTTACGCGCTTCGATATTTCGTCTCTATGTAGTTAAAGCAGTACGTTTGCTTGAAAAAATGTTCAGAATTTCCAAAATATTTCAAAATAAAAAAACATATGTTTTTTTTCAAAAAGTCAAAAATTTATAATTTTTCAAAAATCTAATTCTTCAAAGTAAAATTTTTTCAAAAATTTTATTCTTTTTAAAAGAAAATAATTTTTGGTATGGGAAGTTCCAGCAATTTGCCTTAAGGCACGATGCCATACACCACTAGTTAAATTTATTTAAGTTTCCACTGAGCGAAGGCTAAGATTATAGCCGAAACGTAGGAATTGCAAAACAAATTAAAAAAAAATTATGTTTTTGTTATAACATTTACCTAGGCAGTGGGTCTGCTCAAAGTCAAATGAGTCTGTTCATCGCTATCAGAATCCCTTGGTACATCCGACAGTTCATAAGGCTTCGGCCATAATTGATTCGACATACCTAAGAAATCTTTATCTTTAACATTGAACGATATTAAGGCATCTTCTATGGCTAAATGTTCCTCTGATAATTGTCTGAAAATGAACAAGAAACACAAATTAATAGAAAAAACTCTTGATGAATAATGTATCGACTATCATCGTATTATTTTGTTACTTACATGATGAATGTTTCATCAAACAAAGGGAACATAGTTTTACTTTGGCTTTGGGTTTTTGGTTTCGATACACCAACAAATCTGTCTTCGGGTAATAAGCTGACTCGTACGAATGGATCACACGAACCTGAAAAAGATAAAAAAAATTTAATATTATATATATATATATACTAGCTGGCCCGGCAAACGTTGTCTAGCCATAAAAAATACTTCTAGTATAAAATGTTTAGTACGAAAATAACGAAGTGATTGCAAATGTGGTGCATAAGTGAAAAGAGCAGCTAACAAATAATATAAATAACAGATAATAAAGCACGCCATATATAAATGTTCCTTAACAGTCTTTTCAAGAGCCAACGTAATCCCAAAACTGATTCAATTCAAAGTGAATTGGCACATTAAAAGTTTCATGATTTTGTTATATTATTACCGCGCTTTTGCAATAATTCAGTAAATTTTTAATTACGAATCAAAATCCGATCATTCATTTTTGAATTATATTGTTATGTGGCATGCCCAGCAAATTGACTGAGATTGAAAAAATAAAATGAAGTAGTGGAAAATTTTACAGATTGCCATAGATTTGTATGGTACCTTCAGATTTTAATATTCAACCTCTCTATTTCTTTGCAAAAATTGCTCTTTATGCAAACCATTTATCAACTACGCACTGTTTGTGCGCATCGGGAAATATTTGTACAATAAGAAAATGAGCGAGTTGGACAACCCTTGATAAAAATAATTTTTTTTTTTTTTAAGTAAAATTCATGCTTTATCATAAGGTCAGGAAATCACTTACTGGCTAATACAAAATAAAGAATTGTGGAAGGAGGGGTTTTTTTTTTAAGTGGAAGGAGTTGTATGTCTTTTTTAATTCCGCATTATGAAATTTAAAAGTGAAAAAAAATGATTAAAAAATTTAAAAAAAAAATGAAGAGGTAGACCGACCAGCTTTGATAAAAATCACCCCGTGCTAAAATAGAAAATTGGTCCCAAAATATAAAAAAATATTGAGGGTGGACAACCCTTAATCATAATAAATTGTTTTTCGAAGTAACATTCAACCATTTTCATATACTCAAATAAATCTTGACTAAAACTATGTCAAATAGGTCAAATTAATAAAATAAAAATTTAAAAAAAATAGGGGTGGAAAACTAAAATTTAAAACAATAGAGGTGCTAAAAATAAATAGTTTTCCGAAGTGAAAAGTGTTTCATGTATTTTTCAATATCAAATTAAAGAAAATTAAAATAAAAAAAATTGGTCACAAAAGAAAAATGTTAGGGGTGGACAACCCTCGATAAAAATAAATAGTTTTTCAAATTAAACAGAGTTTCGTGTATTTTTCAGAAGAAGAAAAGAAGTGATATTTTTTTCGAGAAAAATTTTTCTTTCCTCCTTTTTTGTCAAACAATTGTATCACACCTTTTATATTTGAAATACTTATTATTGTATTGATAGAACAGATATGAGGGATGATATACTGCGGGTAGAAATCCGAACGAACTTGAAAGCGTTATGTACACATTCATAACTATTGAAATATATGTCTTTATTATTATTATTATTATTATTAAGAATGTTAGGGGTGGACAACCCTTGAAAAATAAATAGTGTTTTTAAATAAAAAAATTGTTGTATGTATTTTCTCACTTCCGCATTAAAAAAATTAAAATAAAAAAAATTGACCCCAAAATTAAAAAAGGTATTAAGGTTAGACAACCCTTGATGAGAGTGAATACTATTATAGAGTAAGATTTAATCTTTTAATAGAGAGATTTAAGGGTGGTGCTTAATATGGACATTTTCGAATTTCTTGCTCCCAAGGGCTCAAATGGTTCCAAATTGACAAAAAAACAATTCTCTGAAAGTTTTAGCTCTTAATATTGTCTGTTAGATAGAGCGCAATTCAATCAAAGTTTTGTATGGAAATAGCATGGAAAAATTTTCAAAAATTTTGCAGAGCGTCGAATTTACAATAAAAAATGACAGGAATTTTCACTTTTAATTCATTTTTCCATGCTATTTTCATACAAAACTTTGATTGAATTGCGCTTTATCTAAAAGACAATATAAGAGCTAAAACTTTCAAAGAATTGATTTTTATCAATTTGGAACCATTTGAGCTCTTGGGAGCAAGGAAATTCGAAAACGTCCACATTAAGGACCACCCTAATATATATATATATATATATATATATAATATAAATAAAATTTAATTAGGTCTTACCATTGCTATCCGTCGGCTTCAAATTCCTCGCACTCATGATCTCGACTCGAAGATGTGTATTTTGCAATCGGCAACGAACAGTCAAAATGCCATAAGGAGTGTCCTGCATACTTTCCTGCTCCTTCAGTCTATCTAAATGGAACTAAAAACAAAAAAATACATAAACTTAACAATCCCTTATCACTTCTCGATTTCTATTCTTACCCTGTGTATAAGATCTCCAGTTTCCAAAGCATGCAATCTCAGCAACTCTCTCATCTGTTCCAATTGCTCCCTGTCGAGGGCCTCCTGTTCCCTGCACTCGTCCAGACGAGCCCTTTGCACTGGTGTAGGGCTGGCACATCTAGAATTCGGTTCTGAGGTGCAGGAAGAAGAGCCTCCGCCGATTCCGAAGGATTCGTGGAGGACGTCGAGGGTTTCCAAGAGGCTCGCGTAGAGGGACGGCGGTCTCCGTTCTGGATAACAATAAATAAAATTTGTTATATAGTTATATGTATATATATATATATATATATTATATAATATTATATATATCTCTTAGATATAAAAATGGAGCTCTCGATCAAATGATCCGCTAAAACTCGAAAACGGCTAAACCGATTGGCCAGTCTTTGTCTTGAAAAACACGTGCTAATCAGTCGGTTGTCGGAAAAGGTGAGAATTGTTTCAAAATTGCGTAAATCTTTACATTTTTAATTTGAACATTTTGTAGAAGCGTTAATTTGAATAAAACAATGGACGGGGGCTCATACGTCAAATGTCAAACGTTTTTGACAGATGATGTTCAATTACGTTTAATAGGATGTTTACGTGAATATTATTTAATATGATTAAATTGTAGTAAGTAGTTTTATTTATACACAAAAACGTTAAACGGATCGCAAGTGTTGCTAGAAACTCGAAATATACAACTTTTTTAAAATGTTAATATGAAAATGCACTTTTGGCGTTGTGTAGCACTCTTTTTTTACAAATCTTTTTTTTTTATTAACCACGGTGCTCTGAAGGATCTCATTTGTATAATTATATACTCATTGGTATTATAAAACATTTTCAAGGCTATATTATTTTTTACTTATGTTTTTTAAATTCAGAAACTAAATTTGGTATCGATCAAAGGGACATTTTGTCAGCAATAACATTTTTCCAGTTATAATTTCCCAGAATTTATCGAAGAACAGATAGTAATATATGAAGGTCCGGGATTAAAAAGGTCCACCGATGTGCCAAAAATCAGTAAAAGTTAGCATTGTTTAACAACAATATTTGAAAGTAGAGGGGAAAAAAGATGTAAAACCAGCTATAACCTTGATTCTCATGACTTTGGTATGGGGAGATAAACGGTAATCTTAGA